CACACACACACACACACACACACAGATTCTGGTTCCAGCTTCTGCTTGCACACCTGCTGATCATCAGGTGAGGTGATAAAGTGCACTTCACAGTGTCTACATGGTTTTTAACCTTCTGTTTGTACAAACATTTAATTTCTCTTTCTTTCCCGTGGAAAGTGTGCAATAATGTCTGTTTTCATAGCAGATTTAATTGATCACATGTCAGAAAATTACTTTTGTGAGTCTGAGGCAGTTTCTTTACACGGAGAATTACACACACACACAAAAAAGCAGCAAATCCATCCACATCAGAGAATGTTTAACATTTCGTGCTGGAAATTTTTGACAGAGTTAATTATGAATCAACAAATCAATTAGCTACCTTATCCTAGATCTTGTATTGAGTACTATCAAAACAAAGGAACAGATCTTCCAGATTACTGAACAGAACACTTTGTTTTTTGTGTTTAAATTAATTTTTTTATGCATTTATTTTTGTTGACTGGCAACAAACTGTCTTTTTCTTCTTGCATTTTCAGACTTCCTGAACATTTCTGCTCAGTCAAACAAAAGTAACAGTGATGTGTGCTTTTCTTTTGTAACCACGCAGATAATCCTCTCAGTACCCAATACTGTGTTTCTGCTCGTGGTGGGAGGGGACTCGCATTTCTGTTTCCCTAATCTCTGTGAAAATGCTGCTAACATTGACCGGCTTGTCACATAGTGTGAAGACATCTTTACTGGTTAACTCTGCAGATGCACCATATGAGCACCTCACAGTAGGGTAAGTGCCACCTGCTGTTGCTCAGCTACTTAGTTAGCATTAGCCACTGAGGGCAGTTAAGCTTACACAGCTTAGTTCAGTGACCCAGTATAGGAGCTACCTACGGGAAATGAAAGGAAGAGAAGGGATAAACAAGCATCAGACTTATACCTAAAAGGATGAACAGACCACTGCCCAACATGATCTCATACAACCTCAGTAGTCCCCGAGGAAAACAACTCTTTTTTTTTTTTAAATGAGCAAATATAAATAGAAAAATTACCATTTTCTTGCTTTTACTGTCTTGTGAGAGAATCTTTTGATTGGTTTAGTGTAGTTACTGAATATTTTGTTTTTAATTAAAGACATTTCAATAAATCCCAGCCTGGCCTGAGTGTTTTTCTTACACTATAAAGGCAGTTGTGCATCAGAACTGCAAGAAAGACACAGGTAAGATCAAAAACAAATTATAATAAAAATAAAAATCTAAAAATAAACCCTCTAGTTAGCTAATCTGATCTACAAATCAGAATTTACAACCATCTTACTGTAATCTGTAAATGTAGGTAAACACAATCCTCTACACTGACCTGCTCTGAGAGATTACTGGAAGATGTGGGCAAAACCTTATGCAACCCAACCACCACCTCTGATGCTTTTAGGAGACATTTGCATGCATGAATCATACACTTAACGACTATATTAGTCAGTTTCTATTCATAAGTGTTTGCCTTTGTGTTGCAGTTAACAAAATAATAGACTCACCATTTTGTATGAAAGTTTTTTTATTTTTGATCAGAGGGTTTTTAAATTTAGCCATCTAAAGCAATCCAAGCTCGTCAAGCGCTTGTTAGTATTATATACTTTTGCTTTGGTGAATAAGACAACTATAGTGGAAATCTGCAATAAGAAATGTAATCAGTCCCAACCATGTTTTCTTGTCTTTTCCTCCAAGATTTATCATCCGACTCCTTCATCCTGACCAACCCCCACTTTAGGAACAACTGCTTCCAATATTAGCAGCTACCAAGAGCGAACATATAGACAGACGCTGACTTGATTCAATTTCTTTTCCTTTTGAATCCCTGAAATTCAAAAGCGCTCATTTACTGCATATAAGTGCATCGGTGCCTGGGTTGCAATGGAAAAGGTGTCGCTATCGTGATATAAGATCTTCCAAAAACAGAGAACTTTTGTTACTTTCAATAAATGATGGGTTTTAATGAGTGTTACACGATCCATTAAGCACTGTACTTCATGTCAGCATGAGACACTGAAGGAAGTCAGAGCCAACTGTTTGCTACAGCAAAACTACTAAGAGGATTATGTGCCATGTCTTTTTATGCTTTTGTATAACACACTCAGACCTGTTTCAGATTCACATTTGAAGAGATGAGAAATGAAGACAAAGAATTTGAATTTCAAATGCATTACTCAACATTTCCTTGATGAATTCAATTATCAAGTGAAATTATGAATAAAAGCTGATTTCCTCCCACTGATCAAAGACTTGCATTGGTGATTATAAACTGGCCATAGGTGTGAATCATCACATTAATGGTTGTCAGTCTCTGTGTGTATGCTAGCCCTTCAAAAGGCTTGTTCTAAAGGTTGCTTCTTGTGTTACAGAATTAGATGAGAAGTCAAGAAAATGGATGGCCTTAAAAGAAAAGTTAAAAACAAAGCTAATTTATTTAAATAGTTGTCGATATCCAGCTGCCCAAACATTCAAAGATAAGAACATCAGCTAATATTCACAAACACGCTGCTTGGAAATAATTAATTCTGTTAATATACATAAAGAGGCGTGCAAAAACTGCAGAAAATGTGCCTACAGTCTCAGATGCTAAAATGCAGGATTTTAAATAATTTCATTCTCCAAAATGTGCGAGTTCCTCTTCAGAGTGATCTAATTTAAGACACTTGGTAAACATTCCCACAACCAATCACAGTAATTAAGGCAAGCAGACAAACACCAGGACTATGACCCACTTTCGGTATTTGTGTGTGCACACGCCTGTGCATGTATTTACCCAAAGTTGTGAGTGTGTGTGTGTGACAATGCCATCTGCAGCAGTGGTAGCAGGACAGTGTTAGCATTAGCCTGTGGATGCTAATCCTCTAATCCAGCCTGTGTGTATCAGAGGGATAAGACGCTGCCTCCACACTCAGTGAAAGAGCCCAAAATGCTTCTTCACTGTTAGTGGAAAAAGGGATGAGTGAGTCCCAGAGGAAACCCAGTGTCAGGAAATGCTGATACCCCGCTGAACCTAAGCACACATGTTTTATTCTCTGCTAACACTCATATGCAAACAGTTATGCTGGAATCGCCAAAAATAAATGAAATTTACAAAGTGAGGGGATTTATGGGGATTTGGACACAGTCTGATAACTGTGCCACATTACACTGATTAACTCTTTACTGATTAATTTTCAATGTTCTGACAGACCTGACAAATCTCATCTTTAACACTGCAGCCGAACACAAACTTGCCACCTCTGCAACAACTAACGATGACCGCATCTAAGCTGAGCACATAAGCATGCACTGCAGCACAACAGAAAACACGGACACATAGAGTTTAGTGCAGGACTCCATGGAACAATGTAAACTTACTCAAAAAGTTGTCAACTGCTCTGAACGGAGGCGAAGAACAAGCAGGCAGCAGGAGGAAGTGAATCAGTGAATCAGATTGCCAATAAATCAAATTAATTCAGCTGCCTCACTCAGTGAACAGACTGATTACCCCACACAGTTGAAAAATACTTTTGGCATTTTAAGAGGTTTTTTTTTTTCTTCTTTTCAGTTGTTATACAGTTAGTTATACAATGTTTACCACACCTCTTACTCTTTGGATTCAGCTTTTTCAGTCCCATTGCTGTATCACGATGCATTCATACCCAGACTGATTCCCACCCCTTGCTTTCCTGGCAATTCTCACTTTGGAAAAATATAGGGAAATACTTGCCAGTATTTTATTTTAAAAAATTAAACGTATAAGCTTTACAGATACTACTACTAATAATTTATTTTTTCAAATAACTTTAAACTCAGATCACATGTGGTGTTTCTTTTGACCACACAGCAGATGTGCTACAGTCTTTAAATGTAGCTGTGCAAACATAAAAGGTGTTTGCATGTGGAAAGACCACAAAACACTACACAACTGTATTACTTCAACTTAATGTCATGACATATCCAAGTATGTGAAAAACACGTTTCTCAGGTCAACATAAATTTTTATGTTTATTAGGACTTTATTTTGTTTAGGACAAACTTGTTCAGCCTCTCAGCACATTATTTTTATTACTTCTTTCTATTAGTACATGAAAAAAATATACAAAAGGCTAATGAAATTAGCCTAGTTCATAACTTATGTTAAAAGCAATTTATCTGAATGTAGGGATCGATAATACCAAAAATTAGACTACCCTCAACTAACCCAGATGGGAGTAAAACTATCAGTATCTCTCAAGTCCATAGAAATGTAAAAAAAAATAAAAACCAATAAAATCAATAAAATGTATTTTAAAGTTCTTTTATGTTTTGTCTCTCTTTTGATTTGTAAAAACTAATGTCATTCAAATTTCAGTGAAGGAAGATGGAAGGGATTCTGGAATTCAAGCAACACCACTGAATTATTTATTTATAATATTACAATTAATATAACCATATTATAATTTTTTTTTCTCGCATTTTTAGGTTTAAATATCAAGGTTATCTGCATATCATGACATCAGTTAATATGTTTTTTTAAGGATAAAGGAAGATGCAATTATTCAATTATCGTTTCTTATGAGAAAATATTTCGTGGAGACTTAAAAATATGTATTTTATGAACCTTCTCTTGATTTAGGGATTATAGCAGCTTTGCTTGACTGTTTTGCAACCACCAGAAACAAACACATGCACTGGTCACTACCTCAGAGGATCAGGATGTGTAAAGCATTTACAGTGGGTAAAATTATTGAACACATCGGTAAATTTCTAAGTAAATATATTTCTAAAGGTGATATTGACATGAAATAATCACCTAATGTCGGTAACAACCCATCCAATCCACACATGCAAGGAAATCAAGCTGTAGATGTCTATAAATTAAGTTACATGTAATAATGAGAAACAACACAGGAAAAAGTGTTTACTGAAATGTATTTAATACTTCGTACTAAACCCTTTGTTGGTGATCACAGCTTCACGATGTATGGAGAAACTAGCCGCATGCATTGCTCGGGTGTGATTCTAGCCAGTTCTTCCCTACAGCCAGTCCTCAAATCCTGGAGGTTTCGTGGACCCATTCTATGAACTCTGAGATTTACTTGTTTCTATAGATTGGCTGGGTCATTCTAGTAGCTTTGTTTTCTTCCTCTGAAACCAGCTGAGAGTTTCATGGCTGTGTTTGTGATCATTGCTTCCTAAAATGTTCTTTCAAATGTCCTGAAATGTCATTTCATCTTCATCATCCTGGTAGACGGAAGCAGATTTTTATCAAGAATGTCTCATCACATTTTTCCATTCATCCTTCTTTCAATTAGATGAAGTGTGCTAGTGCCATAGGCTGGAAAACGGCCATACACTGTGATACTCCCACCTCCAAACATCACTGTTGGTATGGTGTTTCTGGGGTGATACGCACTGCCTTTTAACCTCTGAACATTGTGTATTATGGCCTCGAGTGATATCAATCGTAGTCTAATCTGACCAGACTATACTCTCACAGTATTTTACAGGCTTGTCAAAATGTTGTTCTGCATACATGCTTCAGCATGCCTTTTCTTTGCCAATGGAGTATTGCAAGGTGAGTGTGCATACAGGCCATGGCAGTCAAGTGCATTACTTATTGCTTTCCTTGAAACAATTGTACCTGCTGATTCCAGGTCTTTTTGTAGCCCTCCACAAGTGGTCCTTGGCTCATAGACAACTCTTCTGATATTTGTTTTCACTCTTCTGTCCCAAATCTTGCAGGGAGTAGCTGGTCATGGCAATTTCATAGTGAAATTATGTTCTTTTCACTTCCTGATTACAGCCCCAACAGTGCTCACTGAGAGAGCTCATTAGTTTTACCCATAATGACATATTTCTTGTATGATACCTTAGTAATGAGACAGCTTTTTATGGGCCTTCAGATAGGATTGAACCAGGTGGCCAATCAATATAATTTATGTAAGTACTGACAAATTTCAGCTGGTTTCATGACTTTTGTCTTTTTCTCTGTCATTTCTCATTATTACACATAATTTATGTATGTCTATGGTTTGATTTCATTGCATGTGTGGGCTGGATGAGTTGTTACAGACATCTTGTGAGAATTTCCTTTAGAAATATATTTACGTGTTCAATAATTTTCCTACTGTAAGCTTGAAATTGGAAGCTTTAGAAGCAAATGAACAAAACATATATATGGCACCTTCTTCTGATTTAATGTTCATAACAGTTTTGCTTGACAGTGTTGCATTCACCACAAATGAACACATGCACCTGCCACTGTCTGCGAGGCTCAGGTCGTGTAAAGCATTTATACACATACGTACGGAGAGATGATGTGGCATCCAGGTGGGCTACCTGTGTGTGTGTGATAGTGAGTCATACTGGAATAGAATAGCAGCATATGGTGCAGC